CCCCCCCCCCCCCCCCCTCTCCCATTCGATCTCTTTCGTTGGATACGGTCTATAAACCGCAACCAACACCGCGACGAGTCTTCTCTTTGAATCATATTGTACAATGAGATTTGAATAGAGAAGGGAGGTGGGAGAAGGAGAGAGCAGAGCCCCATTGTCGTTTCACCAATGGCGGCCGATTTTATAGTGATCTAATGTACAGATGTTATTTACCCCGCAATGAGAATAGAATAAAAGCATTGTGCGCATTATGATTTGAATCCCGTATCTCGCTACGTTTCTATACCTACCCTCCTACCTACTTACCCTCACCCTATCTAGCCCTAACACGCGTGATATATCTATACGTAATGTAGACGTGTGTACAAAAGTTGCTCACGTTTCCCCGAGCCTTCTGCCTTTCGCTCGAAAAGTATTATACAAGTAACAATCGTGCCAACAGCTAGCTCGAATAAATACTCCAAATTACGATTGTATATAAATTCACGAGATCGCGTTCCTTGTACAAGGACGTATATGTATAATACAATGACGAGACGGAGGGAGGGACTTAAAAACGAGTCGGTTTTCTTTCTGAAATAAATCTGAAAAGTGTGAAAAACACAATTGCCCATCACCTTACCAAATACATATACATATATTTCATATTTTCCATACGCCCTTTTTACGGATGGTTCGCTGAATTATTGTCATGGTTAAATATATTATAATTGTAGGTACTTGTCGCACAAATCGTAACGTAATAACGCGTCACGCGCAACCCCCGCAATTTCCACTCGGTCAAATTATCCACATTGTAATTTAGCAATCGATGGAATTGAATACGTCTGCTGCGAGCATCATCGAGAGTGTCATATATCGCATGTATAGATAGGTATACAATACGAGGAAGCGTAAATACAATCGCGACAGGAAATGACTTTTTTCGATGACGGGATGATTTTTTAACGGCAAATTTGAGCAATAATAAAACAAAAAGAATGGGAGAGAGTTCGTATATATGTATACAATTTATACACCTATAACGGACCACCTTTTTTCGACTCTCTCGGCCACTCAAAGTGAACGCATGTACATGCCGATGGGAAAATCAATAAACCAATAGGTTCGCCGATACATGCCCGTTCATAAAGTATCATGCATGTACTTTTCGTCCCGCGAAACTGAAATCCGAAACAGAAAATTATAGGGAAATAATAAAGTGAATGAAAACACATACGTTGTCCGTCAAAAGTTTTTCTCTTTCCTCGCGCGCAGGCTATATATGTAGAAATTCAATTAAGCTCCTGGTCAAACCGATTTCAAGAAAACTGCGTAATTGCAATTCAATCAATATATATCTATACATATAATTTCACATTATAGTATATGTATATATAGCTCTCATACGAGTCGCACACAGTTTATAAAAACTATACAATACGTTTCGTTGTAAAATCTTTTTCCCACGAACTCGAATTCTTCGTACTCGGAGAATATACTCTCGAATAATGTTTCCAAAAGTATCAGACTTATCTACATCAAGTCGATCAGTTATATTCAGACGGAATATTGTTCGCCTACGCGCACCCTTGGATAAATAGCACGATCGAGATCGAAATCGCGACGATATCGAATTACGATGTTTGCAAACGTCCAATTCATCCCTGACTGACGGTTGATCGAATAACAGCCGCGCGCGATCGGAGCTAGATTAGATTATGGTGTAGTCGCCGCACGTAAAAGCAGCCTCGTGTACTCGCGCGTATATGGAAGAGAGCGCGCAGGTAACAAGTACGGACGCTTCGATCTCAAGAGGTTCTCCCTCTTATATTGCCAGCGTATACCGCTCGCTTGCCGCCACGTAACGCTGCAGTTATACCTCTATATGTAACCTGTTTGCTCGATTATAGATATACGATAGATAGAGAGATATATATATCACTTCAATCGCTCAATTTTAATGCAAAAGATTAATTAAACAATTCTATTCTTACTTAAAAATTCACTCAGACATTTGTATGTGTGCGCTTAATTTGTCCAACGTTATAGAGATTCGAAAATATATATCTCAAACGATGCTGGTTAATCCTAGGACGATATCAGCGAATACTGCATCATCCATATATGCTATTGGCGCGCGTCTGTATTCAGGCCGCTGTCGGATCGCGATGAAGCTCGCGCGATCTCGTCGCGATCTACCCCACGCAGCACTGGTGAAATACCGTACCTATGACTTTTTGACGTGCTTTTAACAGATTGAATTGAAAATGGCTCCGTATGGCTCTCCCGCCGCGATATTCGCACCGAGCGCATACCGAAACGGACAGGAGGTGGAGGGAGGGAGAGAGAGAGTGCTTCTTCTCCTATCTCAATCTCTCGTCGCCGATCTACCTACCCTACTCTTCCGTCTCTCTCTTTTCATTTTTGCACATTCGCTGATGCAGCACCGGCGGAAACGACGTCGCGGGAGGGGAGGAAGGGACTGGACCGGTCAGTCTGTGCAGAAGGGGGTGAGCAGAAATAATGTCCTGGCTCATTTTTTAAAGCCGCCCTCGTATCCGCCGGTATGCGAGGATGGTGGTTGGAGTTCTAGGGGGGGAAAAAAAAAAAGTGACGGACGCGCGTAGAGGTATAGGTGATGTGCGGGTGTGGACGCGCGCACGCTCGGATCCGCGCTTCGATATTATATACGACGCGCGATAGCAGCCCGACATAGGGCCGGAGGTGGCCGATCGGCCGTGGTCGCTCTGCCACCGGATGTGAAACGGTCAAAGCCAAAAAGCACTCTCCGCCGAAACGGGCTATATATTATCCGCAACCCTTCAAATACAGGACCGTCCGCGAAGAGATCCATATATAACGTGTGCGTAAGCTCCACTTGTCCTGCGAAATCGCCAGCCACCATCTCTCTCTCTCTCTCTCTCTAGAGCTACTTTAAGTATTTTACTCTTCTTTTTTTCTATTTAAAGTTTTAGGCAATTTGTTTTGTTTTCGTTTCCGTCTCTTTCATATAAATAACAAAGACTCTAGCTCTCTTGTAAGTACGTATATAGTTTGTTCTACTGCTAAATCAGACTTGTATTAGCAAATTTTATATTTATTAGCAGAGAGGATTATCGGTCAGTAACTTATTTCTTGTCACACACGTGCGCATTAATAATATATTCAAAAGTAAGCATGTTGAGACTTTAGCATTTTGCACTTGTGAGAAGAAAGCACAATTTTCATAAAAAATTAAGATAAGTATTAGAAAGATATACTATTCGACGAAACAATAATGCCATAAGAAACATTTGATACTGATGAAAAGAGTCACAATTCCTTTTGTAAGAACGTAAATATAATAAAATTGATATGTACAATTTCTTTTTTTAATTAGTACTTTTGATGTATGTACATTATAGGTATACACCGATTTTACCACAACAATAATAGCTCTTTCTAACTTTTCTATAAAAAAATATTTTATTCGGAAAGTAATATACTGTGATTTAAAATACAATATGTAACTACTTAATAATCATGTATTATAAGGAAGAGGTAGGCGTGGTTACGAGGGGTTGTGTAGTTACGATCTCGTCGACCAATGCGAAGCCGTTTTACCTTCTGGCAACTGTTGCAAACGCAAGCGCCGTCATGCCTACCTCTGCGATCTCGCTATAGGCTACCGTATACTCTGGATGCAGTCCTCTGAATCTGATGACGTACAGGCGCAGACTCGAATGCTGGGTACAAGAGAGCTTTGTTACGTGCGCGCGCTGTGGGCTGTGAAAGATAGAATGGATATATAGATAGAAAGAAAGAGAAAACCTATTAAACTGCGTTTTTTTTTTTATTCATCTATTCTGTCACATATATAATACACTACTTTACCTTCTTTTGTAATAATCTTTGTTTAGAAAAAGTGTTTACATAAAGATTGAACGAGAGAGTAATGGAAAATAATTAATATTTATTTATATTGATACTATTATACCTATATCTATCGCAGCTCATTTTACTTTTATTCTCTCTCTTCTTTCTTCTGTTTTTATTATAATATAATTTAATTAATTTTATTTGTATTGATAAAACATTCTTTATCGATTTTAATATGTCATCTATGATTTAAGAAAGAGTTATATTTTTTATAACAAAAGTTATATTTATTTTAGCTACATTCAACTATCACTGCAATGACAGTAGCAAAGTCAGATTGTTACTTACTTCTTTTCCGTTTTATCAAGAGTATCGTTCTTCGGAACAACGTTCCAATGCCAAAATCATACTATCTATTATTTGACTTGTACTATTGTAGAAATATTTATATTTATCATCAGCTTTTGGATGATGGTTATAAATATCTTTCATAAATTCGCCATCTGGAGTGAAGAAGAGGATCCTTGGAACGTAGGTTCCATCCGGTTGAAATTTTGCTTCGTCTTGAACGGGAATCTCATCTTTCTTCACACCCACCATAACAAAGCTGCGTCGAAAAAATGTATACAACACGAATTTCATTTTATACTATATATATATATATATATATATATATATATATTATATATAATATACATAGTATCCTTCTAATCTTTACGCGTTTTGTTGTCTTTCATATGTGCGCTGTTCCTATATTTATCGCTCGATTATTGTATTTGTTAAGTTTAAGAAAGTTTAATAATACACCCTCGTGATATAATATCATTCAAAAATTAATCAAGTCCTATCAGCGACGATACTCCCATTTCCATCTGAGAAAAACTTTTTCGTTAAGTACGCCTGCGTCCACAAGCGAAAAAAAATGAATACAAATAGACGCAGAGCTAACGCAGCTTATTGCGCTTATACATATATAGTCAAGTAAACTCCCTTTCATTTATATGATAAGTTAACAAATTTTGCATTATTTCCACGGCTCTATTTCCCAAACTAAATGGTAAAAAATTATGATATTTTTTCACAATATCCATTTCTTACATATTTCTCCATCTCGCGATTTTTTTCTTTTTATATCACTACTAGTTTAGTTTAGGCCCTAATATGAAAATAAATACATTTTCACAAACTTTGTATAAGCAACGCATATAAAGGTATAGTTTTTAATTGCTTATATCTTATTGTTAATATTGAAACTGTCAACCTCACATTAATTGCACAAAGGCGTGTGTGCACCTTTTAAAATATACCTGTATTTAAAATATACAATGTAATGCAGTTTCAATTTCAAGAAATTCTGACTGTTTTCAATTGACGAGTGTACTATCTTAACTCGTAAAAAGACATTTATTTCGCTTATACAATTGGAGATTATCGAGAATGTATGATTTGCGCTAATGTGCGTGCTGAATTGAATTTATCGCAACCATCATACGTATGATACATACGTGCGTTATGCATTTTATACTCTCTTTGTATGTACATGTATCAATATATTATCTTGTACATGTGTGTGTAATTATTAAAATATAATATAATTATTATAGGACCGTATGAATCGCATTTACAAATTTAAGTAAATTCTGCAAAGTAAGGAAAATAGGGAAATAATTAGTAATGTTCCGCATATATTAAGTATATATATATAGTATTTACTGCTGGCTAAGATTGAGGATTCTGATCGAGTTGGTGAATTTGGGCTTCAATTTCTCGCAAGTCGGACAGCCCAGTTTGTGAATTAGCAGAAATATCGGTTTCCTACACGTTTTCGCCTCTTGAAAGCCTTCTTGTAAATTTCTCCATTTGTACATGCGTTCAAAGTTGCGGTTGGAATCGTCGTCGGCGGCGGTGATTACATTCCCGAATATGTAATAATAATAGACCAAGGCAGTAACGTTCAGAGAACCGAGACATTTCGCGTAACGCATTCCAATTGTCGTGAATGTTCCTCAGGTAACTTGCGACGATTCAACGTTGCAGATTTTACATGTCAATCTAACGTGTGGTTTGATGGAAGTTTGAAACATTTAAAACAACGTAAACTTGAACGCGTTTCGTTCATAACGGTTCGTTCTTCGGTCTGCATACGAATGCCATCTATCGGCGACATTCGTAGGTAACTGATGATTACACACTGTAAATAATTATCAGTGTCAACTAGCGCTCACTAGCGCTGCTTTACGCCGATTCTCAGATCATTCTCATTTGTGACGTCACAATTAAGTTGAATGCGCGTACCTTTTGCATTCTGGAAAGCATTCTCAACTGAGTTTTTACCTATAAATCTGCACGAGATCGAGACCATCGTGTATGTGCTTTACTGAGACTCGTAAACTCACTTTAAAAGTGAGATTATAAACTTGTGTTGTCATGTAAATAACTTTTTACCAAAGTAAACAAATAGTGACGTCATTAATCTGAGATTATTTCGTACTCTCTAGTTTCACTCGTGTGTAAATGGAAAGCAACTGATATATCAGCTGATGTGAGGCCTCTCCACCACTCTCCAGCCTTGTTGCGTTGGTGCCTTGGTATTCCCCCCGTTTTTATGTTTTCTTTTGCATACGTATGTATACATATAAGTGACAAATGTGCTGCGCGCGTGCCGGTCGTTCTATTTTCTTACGTGTTTCTTACGTCCATGATTCGCAGGGCTGCACCAACTCTGCTTTACTGTATGAGTAGATTGTAGCTTCTTGTAGGTTAGCACAGGTTAAACGAAAGATTTGACAGAACAAACGCTCTTCTCTTATTGTGTTTTTTTCTTATCACTTGATCTGAATTGATCAGTCGTACACTGGATTGTTATGGACTGCTAACCAATTTATCGTTTCATGGAAAATATCGCGTGCATTGCATTATTTCGAGATCACGATATACGTACCGGACGAAGCTGCATTCCAAGATCTTGAAAAGTCAACAGTACAAAATGAAGCCTTTAATTGAGTTTGAGGAATGCTTACGAGATACTCCCAAGTTTCGGTAAGATCTCTTCTCAATTAAATAATTAATTTGTTTCATACAAAGAGATGACACTTATTAATTGTATCTCTCTATGATTTTCTCTTGTACCTACTACTATCCAATCGTTTCTAGGTATCTAAGTACCTAGTTTAAGAATAAGCTTGATACATTCTTTGCTTAAGATTTATAACATTTTACACTAAATAATTAAGTGTTGTGTGAAATGTAAACTTTACAGATTATGCATCGAAGAGGTGGAAAAGAATGTGGATCTGCTGGAACAAAAGTTGGACAAGGTATACAATAATATTATCAAATGTCTTATTTAAACAGATATGTATGTACATTATTAATTTCACTTTTGTATTATCTGAAAATGATTACACTTAATATAATACATAATGATTAAATAAAATGCAAATAGACAATTTAATGATAATGATAACAACAAGAGCAATTTTTACATATAATTATCATGTTATAATGTGTACACATGTATAACAGACAAATCTAAAAAAATGTATCCTAACTGTATAATCTTTTGTTCAGGTATTAAAAAATTGCAGTCTGACTATCGATACTGGAAAAGCCTTTGTTGGACAGCAAAAGTAAGTTTTATAGGTATATCAATATGCACATTACTTTTTTCATCTTGTTGATTAATTGTTATTGTTTTGTAAAAATACTATGCGAAAATTAATTATGAACAGTATTATGAAAATGCAAAGGAATACATAATAGAATCTCATATAATCAAGAACAGATGAATAATGTATATTATTTAATAATAAGAGAAATTAATAATAATTAAGGACAAAATTGCTAACAAATTATATATACATTAAATAAAATATAAACCAAAATTTCTATCATTTTCAACATTTATACATATATCCATATTTTTAACATCTGTATATATACTTGTCACATAACTATATAATATATATGTTTTCCTAAAGCCAATTTGCCAATAGCCTGTGGGAATTATCTTTGTACTTCAGCGATGATCCAGAAATAATGGCATTCTTAAATAAGCTTATACATGCTTTACAAGAGATGAACAAGTATCATACTATTTTATTAGATCAAGCTTCTAGAACTGTGATGAAGGATCTTAATAATTTTATTAAAAGGTAAATTTTACGCGCGCGCGCGTGCACACACACAGATTTTCAAATTGACTAGTCTTACAAAATTCTATAAAAGTTGTATGGCAATCTTTTTCTAGCGATATCAAGAGAGCAAAAGAGACTCGGCATTACTTTGAAAGAATTTCCAGTGATCTTGATATTACATTGAATAGGAATTCTCAAATACCGAAATCTCGGCCTATGGAATACGAAGAAGCATCAAACATCCTGTCGGCTACCCGATCGTGTTTTCGACACACCGCTTTAGATTATATTCACGCATTGACGATGCTGCAAGCGCACAAGCGGCACGAGATATTAGGCACATTATTAAGCTACATGCATGCATGTATTACTTATTATCATCAAGGTAGCGATCTTGCTCAAGATTTAGATCCTTTCCTCAAAGATCTCGATGAAAATTTAGTTAAAATGAGAGGTGATTCGAATAAACTCGAAAAAGAAATGGAAAATCGTCATATTTATGTTAACAATCGAGATTTGATTCCCTCTCGGGTACCGGGCAATTCCAAGATGGAAGGCTATTTATTTAAAAGGACTAGCAATGCTTTTAAAACTTGGAACAGAAGATGGTTCTGTTTGAAGGATCATCAATTGGTATACCGAAAGAGAACAGGTGACGAAGGCTACACAATTATGGAAGAAGATTTGCGATTATGCACTGTCAAACCTGTAGTTGATTGCGATAGAAGAAATTGTTTTGAAGTTTTAAGTCCGACAAAGTAAGTAGAGGCGTTTCCAATTTGTGCAGCAATTAATACCTACTTGATTAAAGTCAAAATTAAACTTTTTATAAGTGTGGTGTGTGTATAAAAAATTATATTAGATAAATTTCTATTTTGCAGGAGTCATATGTTGCAAGCAGACAGCGAAGAATCGTATTTGGCGTGGGTAACTGCATTGCAGCAAGCTATTGGTGCTGCTATTCAGAGAGGCATGAGTGTAGTTGCTAATATTAATTCACTTGAATTACAATCACGTGATAGTCCAGCGAGACCATTGACTAGACTAAAATCAAGGTAACTGTTGATGCTTTTTATGACATCCGTTAATTCGTGTTGAAGAAGCGCGAGTATATTTTATCAGAAATTATCATTCCTTAAAATTTCAGAGTGTGGGAACAGTTATTAAAGATCTCGGGTAACGGGGTTTGCTGCGATTGCGGCGATGTTAACCCACGATGGGCTAGCATCAATCTAGGCATTACACTTTGCATAGGTAAGCTTTACTCGACGAAATGTATGTATTGCTATATTCGTAACTTAATGTACTTAATATTTTTCACGTTTATCTAGAATGTTCTGGTGTACATAGAAGTCTTGGGGTACATTATAGTAAAGTTCGATCCTTAACATTGGATGATTGGGAACCAGAAATACTTAAAGTGATGGCAGAATTGGGCAATTCTGTAGTAAATAGCATATACGAAGCTCTACCTGTATCTTCCGACATTACTAAAGCTACACCAAAATGCAATGGGTATATAATGTCATGTTAAGTTGATCAACTATCTCCCGTTTAATGGCAATAAAAGAAAATCTTACAAAAAATGTTTACATCCTTTTTTCTCTAGTAACGTTCGAGAAGCTTGGATAAAATTCAAATATGTAGATCGTAAATTTGTAAAACCTCTGACTGATGTAATACCACCTGGGCATCATGCTAGTCGCGAGCAAATGCGATTTCGAAAATGGAGTGTGCGTAAACTGCGTCGTAGACCACGCAGTTGCGATAAGATTGATAATAGTAATGCCAGTAAAATGTTGACGTTATTACCTGTCAAAGAAAATTATCCTTCAACAAGTTCGGACGAAAGCAAACACACGTCAATCGATAGTTTGAATTCCGTTGGCAAAGCAAAGAAAATGGAACGAAATTCCGTAAGCTCGGATGATAGTGCTAGTATGGATTTGAAAAACAATTCTACTCTTTACGGAAAGATCTTAAATCGTTCACAGAACGATTTGAATGAAGCTAATAAATGTGTTAAGAGTACAAGTGCAATTCGTGGAGAAGTTACGAGTGTCGGGCTGCTTGCAAAAGAGCTTAGTTCGACGGAAAGCGAACTGAAAATGAATACATTGAACACAGTGAATATTGATACGTTGTTTGCAGTCGTCGAGTCGGACGACAGTCTCAATAAACATACCAATAATAAAGTCAAGGACGATAATAAAGATGTTTCAGGAAATAAAGATCTTAGATTAGAGAAGCAATATAACGAAAAAATACAATCAGCTGTCTTAATGTTTGGTTGCGATGTACCAAAACCTGCTATCGATAACAATTTAGAACTAAGTTCTGATCAAGATTCAACGGCTGGCGAGGATGAAGAATTTACCGATGAAGAAGATATAGAAAATCTACATCCTGAGATGTTGCTTTACAAAGCTGCAGCGGCGCATAATTTACCAGTAATGTGTGCAGCATTAGCAGCCGGTGCTGACAAGTTATGGTCCAATGTTAATGATAAAAGTCGCACTGCTCTACATCAAGCGATAATAAGTGTATGTATGACCTTTTATATAAAACACGCAGTGTATAACTTTTCATTTTCGTCAATTACATTTCATACATTTCTTACATTACCTATTTCTGCAAGCTTCAGAATGTAAAAATGTAATAATAATCATGTATTTTCTTGTATGCAGGGTTCCGTTATGTCATGTGAGTATCTCCTTTTAAATGGTGCACGAATCAATTGTCAGGACGCCGAGGGAAAAACGCCGTTGCATTTAGCAACAGAATTAGGTACATAATAATATTGTCTGTATATTTTTCGGGGTGGACGAAGAATATATATTAACATTTTATACATTTTTACAATTATATACAGGACATACTGCCCAAGTATGCCTACTTCTTAAACATCGTGCTGATCAACATATTGAAGATGAAAGTGGAATTAAACCTTTGTCAATTGCTGTAAAAGAAGCAAACGCTGATATTGTTACTTTGTAAGTCTGCAAAAGTTTATGTATGTATGTTATATATATATATATATATATATAATATACATAAAAATATATAATATACTTTATGTACATATGTATATTAAAATATTACATCGTCGTGTTTATGACAGATTACGACTTGGTCTCCTAAATGAAGAAATGAAAGATTCTGAAATAGGCGTCACCGGTGATGAAACATTCAATGACGTCGTTCGTGACTTCAGTCAGTTGGCTTGCTCACATCCCGAGCGATTGCAACGTCGAAATGAAACCACGAATTTATCACATATGTCTGAATAAGATTCACAAATTTTTACATAAATGTATAGATAAATCATATTTTATACATCATGAATTATAAATACAAAAGCGCCCGCGTTGCCTTTCAAATTGTTGCAAAGTATCGGTCGCATTAATGTAAGTAAAAGTTAGCGTTTTAAACACGAAAAATTATCAAGTATCAATTGTTTCTATTTGTTTTAAAAACTAAACTATGTAATATCCAAAGTAGAGTCCACTTACATTCTTGCCATGTATATCATCATTGTACAATTGGTCACCTTTTATTAATGATTTATGACGACATATACACATATAGAATTTTATAATCCACTAGGCTGTATAATGAAAAAAATTCTTTTTAACGATTTGGTGCTTTGGTAAAATTACGAGATATCACTTAAGCTTTTTCTAATATTTAGCAAGCAAAGATAAAACAAACATTATATATAGATAAATATTATTTATAAACCATTTATATATATAGTGTAAAAACATTTGAAAGGATTTGCTTAATTCATATTGTATTGAAAGTTTCACTATTATATCATAAATTTTATATATGTATATTCAAATCTGGCGAGGAATGTAATCTTAAGGTAGATTTTTTTATACATACACTTTGTAAGTATATCAGTGCTATGATTATATGCGGTTAAACTGATTTTATTGTAGTTACAGATCACACATATCTTTAGAGAGTAGCATGACATCGATATAACAAATTGTTTTGTTATAAATATTGTATAATGTAATTTGTTATACATACACAATACAGTGATATATAGATTGATTGATAATAACAGCTTTCAAATATTCATCTATTTTTGTTGCATAAAAAAGAAAAATATAGCCTCTGTTGACAAAACTTTTCATTTGTGTAATGAAAACTTTTGGCAACGCGAAGTTAGGATCTGATTAATTTTAAATACTTTCCAAGAAATAGTTAAATTTTATTTGTGTATAATAAAAATGAACAGTACGACCATGTGGAAGTGGAGTAAACCACGGAATTAAGTAACCAACTAAATTTTAATAGAATGTATGTACACATACATACGCATACACGCGTGCACATATATCTCGAATTTGTTGAAAGCCTGAATGATATAAAGTTATTTGTACGTACATTGTGCGTGCGCACGTGTGTGTGTGTATGATTTGCTATAAATGTTTTGTATAATATACATACGTATATTTTACTGTGTTTATATATATATATTTTTTTTTTACTGTGTTTATATATATATATAAACGAGTAACTATATATAATACAACATTTCTTATAGAATCAATTATTGTTACACTATATTATTAAATCACTATAACATCAGCCTGAAAACTTATATCATTTTTTTCGTAATAGTTAAATGGAATTAAAACATGTATGTACATGCAGAAGACGAAATCATTAGTTTATGTGTTTTAGCTGTCACTCTATTCTATGTTAAACGTTATATTAGGGATATAAGCGTGAATTTTGATGAAGAAAATAATTTAGAAATATTATTAACGACCGATATAAATATATACAATTTTGTTATCATTTATCATTGATATGAAGCTTTATTATAAAAGTGATTCCAACATTGTTATCGATTTGATGCATGAAAAAACTCGAGCCAATCAATTAAAGTAGTAATACTTGTTTCTATGTTAGGTTCAAAACTTTTCAGACGACCCTCGTATACTATATGTATGTTTTTACTTTTGACAAAGATATATGGCATTAACGCGCAATTCTTTATATTAATGTCAATTTTTACGCAGTTTCATAAAATTACAGTGATTCTTTACTTGAAAAATTTGCAATACACAAATGTATAGACTATATATATATATACATATAAATATATATATTTTTTTAATACACTCGAAATAATATTGACATACGTCTAACATATATATTTGCATTTTGTATTTACAAAGTACTTGTACTTTTTATAATGTTCACATTGTGAAAAGTACGTATGTATTATTCTAGGCTATCTAAAAAGTAAAAATGTGAGCGACATAATCTATATCTATTAATTGATTCAAATATTATATTAAATATGACGAATTATTAATTTTTTATTATTTAAGATTTGCCTGTGTAGATATGTATGTAATCTATCGAACAATTTTTAGCTAATGAAAAGTGTTTTAAGAATCAATCAAATTTTATTCAACAACACGTAGAGTTTTCAATTTCTATGTTGCTACTATGTTGGTTTGAAATTTAATCCAGCATTTCTATTCTAATATAAATTGTATGAAATTAATGAAACAACAAAAGAATTTTCAAGAAATTACGATCACATTTTCTATATTTGCATGTATGCAATGTACATACACATGTAAATAAAAATAATAAATATAGATAACATGAGTGGTATAATTTTTTGCGATGTACAATATTTAATCGCGTGTGTATGCAACATTTAAATTACTATATAATATAAAAAGCTACCGTTTTATACGGACTTTGTGTCTATAATATACATTCTATCACGTTCTTTTCACACATGGGAGACACACTTTACACGCTTAGGTATTATTAGCTGTTATTAATTATTCCAACGTCCACTTCTGCATAATCTGATACTAACTCGTTATTCGATCTACAGACTAAGCATGTTTTTGACAAAGCATAAAAAATGCATCGTTAAACAGAACTCGCGTTTATTCGAAAGAATGTATTTACATTCGATTGAGAAGTCATCGATAAATATGTCAGCAACAAGAAAAAATAAACCTTTTAAACATAAACTGTTTATTCGAAAGTATAAACAATTTTCAAAACATAAATCCTCGATATTTATAGATAGAAGAGCCTAATGTGTAAACGTAAGAGTTTCCTTCAATTTGTTTTTTCAACTTGTTTTTTTAAATTGTTATCTGCAGTACGTGATATTTGAATGGAATTTTTTTGCGTTATTAGTCGAAATGTATTTTCCTAATAATTTTGATGATTTTTCTTTATCTAATTATTTTGGAAAGAGACAAATTCACATAGATGTGGAAAAATATTTAATGAAATAATTAGGTATATACATATATCTATTATTTCAACATATCCTTATCTTTTATTTCAATTTAAATAACATTTTATAATAGATATAGTTACACACACATACGCATTATTTTGTTGTTTTAATCGTTGTTTCATATATTTATGTTTCTATAATTTCTTTATCTCTCTGTAATAAAGTTTTAATAAAAAATGTTGGTTGATGTAATAAATATAGGCTGTACAGGAAAGAAGAATAAAAAACTTATCTCTCTCTCTCTCTCTCTCTCTCATTGTGTATTTTAGTTGTTTAACAAAATTTTTAATGTGCATCGATTGAGTGTTCCATTGTTACAGTAATTATTACAGTTATCGGCATACGTTCGTATACTTTATATACACTATTATATCAAATAAAATCAAATATTCTTCCTTTAAGCTGTCAATAGATGTATGTACTCATAGTCGATTCTTATATATTAAGATCGTTTGAAGTACCTTAGATCTTAAGATGTCACAAACTAATCAGAGGTCACACACACATTAGCATCTTAAAACAATCTTGAAATAAGAATAATGGACTATGAATATCACTTTTAGTTTTCTTTGTGATAAAGGAGCGCGATGCATCGACATAAATCGTGTACATTTGTATCTATTGCGCATGTATAGTATTGGAAAATTTTCAATGTGCTTTGTATATTATACACACACCCTATTGAAAATTATATACATATATATATAAATTGTTTCTTTTCTCCTCTTCCTCCCTCTCTCTCTCTCTCTCTCTGCATTATCACAATTAAAGCTGGTGGCATATGATGTTCGTTTTCTTACTGGATTGTTGGCTAGATTAGATTCTTGCCATCATATTGGTTGCGGTACTGCGGCACTGCAGTCAGTATGGCAAGAGTTTAATCCAGCAGAAAAATAAGCATCGCATGTGATGTCGGCCTATAAGTTTAAATTTCACATCTTTTGAGAATTCACATATTGTTCACGTAATAAAATAAGTAAAAGAAAAGATTTCAGCAGGCTCACTTTTTTTTTGAAAATACCAAATGGATAGATTGCTCGTATTTGCATTGATAAAAAGTTAAAAAGCATTTATGACTTACATATATATATATATACGATGGGAGTGAGATAAGAAGAAGCGATGTGCGTTCATTGGTTGCACATAAATCGTCACTCGATACAAAGTAGTTGTTTATTGACGCCTCTTTTAGTATCAATTCTGATGCATACATATGCAAGTTCAGTGTTTACTTTTCAGCGCCATTGATCTGTTATCTGTTGCGATAGCAAAGCCGATATTAATTCTTCCCACTCATCTTTTTGCGATAACGTCATACGCTGCAGATATCTACGAAAATGCGAGGAGATATAAAGCCTGTGTGGTACGCGATGAGTGTGTTTATACTGACAGCTTGCGTTTTGGTAAATTTTATTAGAAAGGAAGATAGATAAGAGGCCCAAATAATAGAGTCAACCAATCTCTTATTATGTCCCCCTCTAATTACAATATTTTTGTTTGAAATATTTTTTCGTATTTTCCATATTTTTCGAGATAAAATTTTAATAATATAGGCACTGCGACGGAAAGTTGACGAAATTATTTTTTCGTTAATAATATTCCGTTTTCTGTCTATGCAAAATTGATCTTTATTGGATTCTAAAACGACTCATTATTTCTACTAAAATAATATTAATGATCATGGAGGGCGATGAGTACGCGGTGGACAGCAGATGTGTGTTTACTCGCTTTATTAAGGTGGTTTATACCCCAACCATGCGAGATCAACGACAGACTCAAACATAACTCTAAATCAATATATCATATATTGTTATGTAAAATCTAAGAATAAAAAAACAATGTATTTTATACACTTGCAATATTAAAGCATGATGAAATAAATTAGTTTAAGAAAAGAATTAAAGAAATTCTACGTATCACGTAGTACATAACAGAAATTAGATCGTGGCAACGTCGCATTTTTACAAATAGACATAGTGTGGGTCTTTGACTATAGTCAAAGGTGTGGGTCTGTTTTTTGTTCCTGCACTGTCTGAACTAGTATAGTGCACACGGTGCAATAAGTTAAAATGAAATAAACGTATATTTGTTTCACTTCAACTTATTGCATCAACGTGTAATAGTTCAGACAATGCAGGAACAAAAAACAGACCTGGCACAAAAGCATCGCAAAGCACCGCTGTCAAAATATTTATATAAAAGACAAAAATGTCCACACAATCACGATATAAAAAGGAAAATATATTAAAAGTAAAAATCGAATTTCTAAA